GCACTAAGAATGTCCAACTAATTGTTTAGACCTGATCCCTTGGGGGCCTAAGCCTTTAGCCGGACATCCCCCGAGGGCTTCCTGGCTGCCAGAAGGATGTCTGACTGCAAGCTTAGGCCTGATCCCCCGGGGAGTGGGCCTAAGTCGACAGGTGGACATCCCCAAGGGGTCCTGGACTGTGAATGGGCGCAGGCCGGGCTGAGGGACACCCCCTCCCCCCGAGTGCACAAATTTTTGTGCACCGGGCCTCTAATTATCTATAATAATAAAAGGGTAATATGCTAATTAGACTGGACATCTTCTGGATGTCATTCTGGATGTCCTTCCTGACGAAGCCGGGGCTGGAGAGAAGCCAGCCCGGGTCCTGGGTGCCTGCGGGCGGCTAGAGGAGGGGAGCCCGGGTACCGGGTGCCTGCCAGCGGCTGTAGGAGGGAAGTAGCCCTTGTCCCAGGTGCTGGAGGGAAGCCAGTGCCAGTAGTTGGGGGAAGGAAGGCCTACTCTTGCACAAATTTTCATGCATTGGGCCTCTAGTAAAGGATATAATAAAGGATACAAATGAACAGCCAGATGAAGAGGTACATAGGGCAAGGTCCAGAGGTTCCTGAGTGCAGCAGCTTTGTCCCTGTGGAGTTGGGGTGCACCACTCTCCCAGCACTTATTTGTGTTAACAACTCGGAAGCTCTCTGAACCCCTTAGTTTAGGGCAGGGGTCCTCAAACTACGGCCCGCGGGCCACATGCAAATACAAATATTGTATTTGTTCCCGTTTTGTTTTTTTACTTCAAAATAAGATATGTGCAGTGTGCATAGGAATTTGTTCATAGTTTTTTTTTTAAACTATAGTCCGGCCCTCCAACGTCTGAGGGACAGTGAACTGGCCCCCTGTTTAAAAAGTTTGAGGATCCCTGGTTTAGGGATTTTTGTGGAAGCTTTTTCACAGATTTATGATCAATTATTAACTCAGTGTCCAGCCCCTCCCCCCTCTCCAGAGGACAGAGCATGGGGCTGAGAGTTCCAACCTTGTAGTCACAGCTTCGTCTTTCTGGTGGCCAGGACCCATCCTGAAGCTATCCTGGAGCCCACCTAGAGTCCTGCCATTAGAACAAAAGGCACTCCCATCACGCAGCAATTCCAAGGGATTTAGGAGCTCTATGCAAGAAGCCCTTATCACCCCTATCACTCAGACAATTACGAAGATTTAGGAGGCTGTGTCAGGAACTGGGAGGTCAATGACTAAATATTAGAATAAAAGATGTTTTATCAACCCTATCTCTCAGGAAATTTCAAGGGTTTTAGGAGCTCTGTGTCAGGAACTGAGAAAAGAGACCAAATACATATTTCTTATTATGTCATAGGTGGATATATGACATTATATATTTGGCAAAACCCATAGGACTGTACAACACAAAGATAAACCCTAATGTAAACTCTTGTTCATAATAATCCATTAAATATTTGTTCAACAATGTGACAAATGCATTACACTAATGCAAAGGGAAACTGTAAGCAGGGGAGAGAGGGAATGTTCTACACTAACTGCTTAATAATCTGCAAACCTGAAACTGCTCTAACAAAACAAAATATATTAATTATTTTTTTTAAAAAAAAATTGAATAGTCAATGAGGTTAGCTGTCAAACTGGTCAGTGAAAACAGTAATATAACATTTACTGAGAGGACTTTAGTACAGAAATAATCTAGTTAAACCATTGGTTAATAATCCATGTTTTATCAGAACTGTCTGCCATGAGACCCTATCAGAAGAAGCTATGGTCTCCATGCAATTAGGAGTAACAGTTGAAAGAAAGTCTACACTGACATAAACCAGGGGCAGATATAGATAAGAAAGATAATGCTACATACTTTTAAAGTCAATGACCCCACCCCCACCCCCCCACCCCCTGCCAGGGGCCTCAAATCTTGTTTTATTCTCACAAAATTTATTCTATCTGAATTCTGAAATCTCATCATTTTTTTGCCCAAATCGTAAAAGCACACTAGGATGCCCCATCAAGAAATAAAGGCAGAAATAACAGTTTATGTCAATCTAAGATGTGCTAGCCAGAGTTATGTAGAGAAGACAGGCTGCCCTATATTTTGTCCTTTTCATTCTATCCTTCTGTGCAAGTTACCGCCTTGCATCATATTCGTTTTCAAATAGTGCTGAGAATCTTTCCATCCTGGATGGTTTGTAATATTCTACACACCCTTGTCACTTACTTTTTCTGTTTAACATCTTTCCATGGGAGACAGTATATAGCTAGAGTTAGAAGGTGGCAGAAACTGTGTGGTGAAGGAGAGTCCAAGTTTTGAAACTAGGCTGTCTGGTTCACACCCTGGCTCAGCTGTGTAATCCTGAGCAGGCTACTCAACCTCTCTGTTATTGCAGTTTCCCATCTATAAAATGGAGATCAAAACAGTAACTGCTTCTTCATAGGGCCTATTGTGAAGATTCAATGGCTTAATAGACCTTAATCGCTTATAACAGTGCCTGGCACTCTATATCAGGGTCAGTAAAATTGTTCAGTGAAGGGTCAAATAAATATTTAAGGCTTTGCAGGGTCATTTAAGGCTTTGCAACCCCTCAATGATGCCTATGTAGGACAAAAGCAGCTATAAATGAATGAGGTGGCTGGTTCCAATTAAACTTTACGGCCACTGAATTTGAATTTCATATAATTTTCACTTGTCATGAAACATTATTCATCTTTTGATTTTTTCAACCATTAAAAAATGTAAACACTTTTAGCTCAGAGTTTGTACAAATATGGGCAGTAGGCTGGGTTTTAGGGCCATAGTTTGCTGACCCATCTCCTATCTAATTAATAGACATTATTATGCCTTTTTTTTTTATCTTACTATAAATTATTTTAAATGGCTGCTTATAACAAGATTGCTTGGATGTCCTATAATTTACTTCGTCCCCTGCGGTTAGAATTTAGGTTGTTTCCAGTACTCACTGTATGTCACCCTCCAATGAATATCCCTGCAAAATCTTTGGGCACATTTGTTATTACATCCACATCCTACAGTGTGTCTATTGGTAGCAACTAAAACGGCTGGCAGAGCATCTAGAAAGAAACAGACTGAAGAAGTAGCCTTGAAAATTAATCTTATATAGTTATGGCAAATTTCAAACATGTTAGAGAAGGAATTTTATAAGTATAACATATATTCACGTACATAGAACTATGTACCACATACCACTCTAAGCCATATGTGTATATACATATATATAATCATTTAGTCCTCAAAACAATCCTAGGAGGTACAAGTGCAATCATCATCATCATCATCATCATCATCATCATCATTGCCATCATTACCAGCCCCATAGTACAGAAGAAGAAACTGAGCACAGAAAAGCCAAGTAACTCCCCCAAGGTCACAGTTGGCTGTAGCAGAGGCAGGATTCACACCTGGTCTGTCCAGCACTACCACCTATGATCTGATTCTAGAATGATGAACTGCCCCTTCACTGATGAGGCGTGGCACTCCGAGGTACTCACTTTATAATGTAACTGTAGTGCTTTGTACATTTAGATCATGTTTGGCACCCACGAGGGACCCCAGACTCTAATAATAGGCACAAATTCTATCCCACAATGGGACACTTGGGGGGAAACTGTGAATGCCCATCTAACCTTCCTCTTTAGTCATCCAGCCCCTCCCCCTCATGCCAACTTTTCATTCATTTGCCCTGCATTTCTTACCCACATAGCTGTCCTCTACAAACAGTAAAGGTTGACTGGAGCGTACTTTCACATCTTGTTTTCCAATTTAAGGTCCCAACTCGACCAAATTTACGTGGCCTATTCCGTGGAGCTTCGCTAACAAGAGAGGGCCCTGCACCGCCAAGGGAATGCAAATTTCGGGTAAATGCTCTCCTTTGAAAACAAAACAGTGGGTCTTGTCAAAAGTCTCTCCCTCGTGGCACCCGCAGCAGCAGGGCTGGCTGGGTCGGGCCCCTGGCCGGTTCCCGAGGGCGGTGTCCTGAGTCCCAGTGAACCAAACGGCCAGCCTCCGCCGCCGGGTTCAGACGCGCGCAGCGCGCCCCCGGGGCCCTCGCCGCCGGTGCTGAGCAGCGGGCGACTGTCCCGGACAGGAGTTAGGCGCGGGGGTCGTTCGACTTTGCAGGGGAAATGAAGGCTCTAGTGCTCATTTCTCCTCCTCTCCTCTCTCCCTGCGGGACGCTGCTGCTCAAGGTATCCCGGGGGGATGAGCGACGCCGCCGCCGGCCCAAGATGCCGCCCGCACCCACGCTCATGACCAAACAAGGGCAGAGTCGAGCGGTCGAGAGGGAACAGGGGCAGAAAGAAGCGGGTGTTCAAAGTGACCACG